AAAGCTTTTCGAAGGCTGCAACCTCTTCCACCAGTGATGGCAAAGGCTTGTCGGTCTCTTTCAGGTTCTTCTTCGCGTCTGAGAAAGGCACAAGTTTCAGGAGCAGACTCGCATCTTCAGGCAGGTCCTCCTGGCAGTCCCAGCAGAACAGCCACGGCTGCGACATATCGTGCTTCTCATCCACTTGCGCACCTGCATCCACGTCGCAGAAGTCATAATGCGGAAGGATGTCGAAGAGTTGGAAGGCATGGTTGCCTTCTTTGGCCGCCTTGGCCTTCGCCTTTCCCTTTGCTTTTGCCATGGCCTGAGTGCGGGCATTCTGGTCCCTGTTGGCACTGGCTGTTGCCCTTTTGAGCTCTGATGTTGCAGTCTTGCACGAAGCGACAAGCTCATCCCAGTGCTGACTGAACCTTTGGAACTTCTTCATGGCCAAGGCAATGTCGTCCTCTTTCCGGACGTCTGCAAGGATCTTCATCTCATCGAAAGCAGCAAGCGTCACCAGATCCCGGAAGTTGCTGCACGGTCCTGCTGCCAGCAGGGCCTTCTCGTTCGCTGAGCCGGATGAGCGCACACTGCGTGCATCAACATTTGGCCTGGCACAACGGCACTAACGGCACCCCTGCTTCACATGAACTGAACAGAAAATCCTCTGACTCTGACTTCGTAGCACGCAGCAGGCAGCATGAATACATGAAGTGAGTCTGTCATGAGTCATGAAGTTCAACTTCAACAGTGTTGCAAGAGTGTTGTCGTAGGCCGTCGGAATCGAATCGCGGCCAAGAAGCTGCAGCAAATCAGCACAATACTTGTCAAAGTCACTCTTGGTGCCGTTGCAGATGATATGAAGTGCTTGCTGTCGAGACAGCACGATGTGCAGCTCCACAACATTCGTGACGTTGGCAGCACGACTCAAATCCAATTGAGCCTTCATTGCATTCAACTGGGTCCTCATCTTGCTTTCGGAGCGCTGTCTTGTGTCCCGGACCTGTCGCTCAGCCTTGGCCTTCTCGGTGCCGATATCAAACCATTTGTTTCTGCCTCCCTGGACTCCCTGGCCCTCCTTCCCAGGACGCTTCGTTTTCTTCTTGTCACGCTCTGATTCTTGTGAGTCTGTTTCGGACCCAGAGTCACCATCATCATCCTCATCTGAGTCGTCCGAAGCTTGGGCTCGGGCCGCCGACCCCCCCGACTTGTTGCTTCCAAAGCTGGTGCGGCGAGTGGCAATCTGCTTGTTGGTGGCCCGCCCGGCGGCCATGGCACGCAGATCCGGAAGGTGAACCTCTGAGTTGAAGATGCCACTTGCAGCCAAAGCGGAGTCCTCGTCCCCGTCACCAGAACCAGCCAAGTTGCCGACCATGGACTGGATGTCAAGGCCCCTGCCCAAGGAGCCGTCGCCGGAGGTGACCAAGCTATTAAGCCTGCTTTGCATCTCCTCTTCAGTCATGTTTGCATTCAACCGTTGCTCACCCTCGATGGCTCGACTCTTTGCAAGCTCGGAGAAGTCCACCAGGTCCTCCTCGATCGGCACGGCCACTTTCTTGCCACGCTTGACATACTTTTTGCTGTGCCACATTTCCTCCCATTTTTTTTCAGCCTGGGCCTTCGTCAAGTCACCGCCCTCCTCGGACCTGGCATAGGCCATGAACTTTTTCTCTGTCATGAAGCGGCGACGACCTTCAAAGCGGACCCCGCTTCGGGCCTGAAGCTCTTCTTTGTACTTCTTCACGTTGAACCGCACACGTCCTCGAACCTTGTCGGACTTCTCTTTCTCCTTCAGGTAGGCCTTGTTCATGTTATCCTTTTCAACCTCGCTGAGGCTGTTGTACCAGTCCTCCTCCTTCTGGCGTTGCACTGCCCGCTTCACATTTGTCGTGGCATGCGAGCAGTCTTTGCACTCCGCCTGTGCAGCGTAAAACTGCGACTCGGGTTTCTTCTTCTTGCAAGACCGACACTTTTTCTCCGCAGTGTCGGAGTGGTTGGCAGTCCTGCGTACCCTTTTGGGTGGCGAGCGGGACTTCGACTGTCTGTCACTTACAGGTGTTCGGCTGCGGCCCCGGGATCGCGCTCTCTTCTTCTTCTTGGCTCCATCTTTCTTTTTGGGGTCCTTCTTGCTGGGGCCGGGCATCTTGGACGGAGCACCCAAGTTCAGGCCATCATCCTCCTCACGCAGGAGGTCCTCCATGCTCAGCGACTCAGCGACTTTCGGCTGACGCCAAAACTCTGACTCTTTGACTCACACCGTGTAAAAATATCGCAAAGTCAAAACTCAGAAATTCCCACCTATCCCACCTATGTCTGTATGTCATGTATATCGCACACTGGACAGTGACACTGTGTCACTGGCAAATACAAGTGGCAAGCTCCGGGCTCCGAGCATCTGGAAAATCTATGCGCAGCGTGCAATGCACCGCACCACACAAGCGCAAGCCGCAAGCGAAGACAACAACCACCATCAAGTCATCAAGCAGTCACTGCCAGGCACTTCCAGTCACAGCAGCAATGCAAGCGCCTCGCACCCAGGCAATCAAGAAGCAAGCCAGGCAGACCTCGACCCAGCATGAGCGACGTCGCTCGGCGCGATGTCGTTGCAGCAGACACCCACCTCACCTCCAAGCTTGACCAACAATTGGTGTGGAAGGTACAGGCTGAACACTCATTGCCTCATTCTATTAATCCCTTATTGAGCGTCATTGAGCGTAATGAATACAGGACCGAGCCGGGCCGAGCCCTTGTGACTCGTGACTTAGTGACTCGTGTTTCATTTGCCAAAACGAGACGATGCCTGACAACTGACAACAAAACCTCGAGGCCGGTCGGCTGGTGGTGGCGTGGCAGCAGCAGCAGATTTGTTTGGGCAGAGAGGCAGAGGAAACACTAGCACTAGCAGTTACTAGTCACTATAGTCACTAGTAGTCACTAGT